CGGGACCACACTACCACCCATAAATTTTGCCCCGCTTACTTATACATTCGTAAGAGGCACTGCTTCACCTATAGGTAAAGCACATAGAACTGGCGCTAGAGCTCAGATTCTGTTGACTGCAGAACAAACAACACCTGTTTTTTATTCCTCCGACTCATCTTGTAAAATTCCTTTAAGTTATAGTTAAAAGTGTTATTACAAACTAATGGATATTAAAATAATATTGAAGTTTCGTTAGGATAAAATCAAAACATTGAGAAATCTAACTAATCTCTATAATGACTCAATGATGTACGGACCGCTCATTTCAAGTGCTCGGTGGACCAACTACTTTAGACCCGATGACCATGGCAATGCAAGCACATTTGTTTTCGTTGAAGGAAGTATCACAACACAGGTTATTGCTATTAGATATTTTTGCAGACAGTGGCAGATGGTGACCATGAAGATTCAGTGGAGGTGCCAAGCAAAGGTGTTATATCCTTGACAAATGGTGAGTTCTACGTTCGCTGTTGCCGTCATGGTAGTCGCCGTTGGCAGTACCATTCGTTTATTTAAAATTAACTATCAACCGCAGAAACTATGTGAATTATCGCGTATCTCTGTTGTTCTTTACATACCAGGCGAAAACTTGATCATATTTTGTCGTGGAGTGTTGTGGTTTTGAGGTGCTCGATTACCCTGAAGGTATTGGTTTCGCTTACTGAGCAGAAATCATGGTTAATATTATACATATTTTCATATAAACATATAAATTCATTTAGTAGGAATGGGACCATCGCCTGATTGAATGGCGATTCGGATGGGGAAAGTGAAATTGCCAACTCCCTGTTGTTAACATTTCGTGAATTGGAGGTGGCCTCTTCTCCCCACTCATTGGGAAATCCCCTCGTATGATGGCTTGTTCTGTATCGAGTTGGAATACTTTTATTATTGGAAGGAGATTCTTCTTGCTCCCTTGAATCACGCGTAAGTGTCTCTGCTTACGGGTCCACCCTCCGTTTTTGGCCCTTCATACAATGGTAAATTGAATACAACCAGGTATCGTACTTGATCAAGTCATACGAGGAGAACATTCCACTGTCTAATGGCTACTCATTGTTGTTGGGAGTGATATCACTGGTATTCTTTACATACAATATATACAATACAAGCGAGGGGCGATCAACTTCATAAGCCAGCTGAATTCTAAATATACACTTCGAAAAATACTCAAAAAATCCATAAAAATACTTAAATGTGTACACGTTGAAACTAAAATACCATAAATAAAATACTCGAAAATACATCAAAAATACATTGTATACGAAAAATGCATTTTATAATGAATTTAATGCACTTTAATACAAAAATACATAAATACAGAACAATACAAAGTTCAATTCGGGTAGATGAATCGAAAATACTCAAGTTGACAGCCCCTCGAATACAAGTTAAGGAATTCCCAACAAACATTTTGTCAGGGCAGGGTGATTGGTATAACATGTTATGTTTAAATGAACACTTAAGCGCTGTCCAGACTGAGCAGTTATAACATGTTATAACGGTTTTCAAATAATTGCAACACAGAAACCAGGCTTGCAATTGCTCATTACAGCTAAAATGCTAATTTTTGGAATTATGAAACTATGAGATACTACAATGATAATTTTTATTTGTAAGAAGCAAGATTGGGTGGTAAAGTTTGTGTATGACACACACAATTTATCAATTTTGCTTTCAGAAGGTCACAACTAGCGATTTTATGATCTCTGATTGCTCGTTCATCACGTTGCTCATCGTTACAGCTAATCGCTATTGTGACCCTCTGAAAGCTAAATTAACATGTTTTATGTATCATACAAATACTTTACCTTCTCTTCTAGCATCTTGTCAATAAGAATTCCCATTAAAATATTTCATAGCTTCATAAATCCGAAAAATAGCATTTTAGCTGTAATGAGGATTTGCAAGCTTGACAGAAACCACTATAATGTTTTAACTCTGTAGTCTGAACTAGAAACACTGGAATAAGAGACCAGCGGAGAAAAAAAAACATGAATTTGGCAACAAGATAAACCTTGAGATAAACATCAAAGCAATCCTGGCATCACTTGCATTTGTAACTGCTTGCGAGTGACTTCGCCAATGCACGGTCGAGTTCATGAGTGATTGATAAACGATTTTAATACTCCTCCCTAATTGAAGCAAACCATTTGTAAACATTGCAGTTGCAGATTGAAACCGCTTTTGACAGTTCGATTGGAATCATAACAGTGTCTCCGCTGGTCTCTTATTCCAGTGTTTCTAGTCTGAACGTAGTATAATGCTACATCCAGACTACAGAGTTATAACATACAGTCTGAACGTAGTATAATCAACAATCAATACGAAACTAACGATTTTAAATTGGCTCACTACTTGACTTGCCTATTGGTCCCAAGCAAACGATTAAGGTACCCCATTCTAGTTGAAATTCTACTACTACACTATGTTTGTTTTGATTCGCTATGAAAGTTTGACAGATAAAATGAGGGGTTAGTGGATTTTCCTATGTTTCGAGGGGTGAATCGATTAGCTTGGGACCGAAGAGAGTACCAGAGCTGAGCCAAAAAGTTGAGCACGTTATTTCGGGGCCTTCAAGTCTTAGAGTTACCTCTATGGTATAATGCTACATCCAGACTACAGAGTTATAACATGATGGACATAAGTATTCGTCGTGCACATGTATCATGTTTTCGTGATATTTTTCTAGGCGGTGTGATTTTATTTCGTAACAAAGTGTACTTCAAATAAAACAACCAAGGTTCATTCGCAGTTCCCTTTATTAAAAATCCAACAAAACGAATGTAAGCTGATGATATTGCGAAAACATTAACAATTACTCTAAATTCAGCTGGACAAAAGTATTCGTCATTAAGAAAATCTCTCTGGAAAATCATCATTGGGGAAATTATTCAAATTATTAATAACTTGTATTTAATCCTCTTTGTCTGATGACCTCTTTCAATCGGTTTTGCATCGAGTGAACCAGTTTTTCACAGACCGAGGGTTCTATCTTATACCATTCTTCACGAAGGATTTCTCTCAACTGTTTTTGTGAGGTTATGTGATGTTGTCGAACGCGCCGATCAAGAACATCCCACAGATGTTCGATTGGATTCATATCCGGTGACTGGGGTGGTGTTTTGAGCTGGTGAGGAGTATTATAAAGAAGCCAAAGACGTACAACTTCCGCGGTGTGCTTCGGGTCGTTGTCTTGTTGGAAATAGAATTCGTCCCCTATGCCCAACTTTACAGCACTTTGCTTCATATTTTGTTTCAAAATATTCAAATACTCCTCTTTTTTCATGATTCCATCAATAAACACCAATTCCCCAACACCAGATGCAGCCATACAACCCCAGACCATCACTGATGAACCCCCATGTTTGACGGTAGTTTGGATGTTCTTCTTCTGCAGCTCAGTGCCTGGTCTCCGCCATACCAGAACTCGTCCATCTGATCTATAAACATTAAATTTACTTTCATCGGAGAATAGCACTTTGTTCCAGAAGCTGGTTGGGTGATTCTGGTACTCTTTTGCGAAGTTCAATCTCTTAGCCTGATTAACCTTACTTATTAAAGGTTTTTTACGGCACACACGCGCATTATACTGGGCTTTATTCAACACTCTGCGCACTGTTCTGGAGTTAACTTCTTTTCCACTGAACTCCAGTAACTCCGCTCGCACTTTTGATGAAGATACTTTCGGTTCTTTCCCAATAATTTGTACAATTTTTCGCTTTTCTCTGTCCGTCAACCTGCAGGGACGTCCTGTTCTAGCCTTATTGCTGAGGTTTTCGCCATTTTTGTATCGTTTGATTATGTCCTGAACCGTTGTTCTGGGCCTACCAACACTCTCAGCTATTTCGGAAACAGTTTTTCCCAACTTAAACAAATTCAAGATGATTTTTCTCTCTTCCACCGTAGTTTCTTTGCCTTTTCTACCCATTTTTTTTGAAATCGGATAAAGATCGCGCAAGAGCAGTCGAATTTGACAAAAAGTAAACATTAGTGAATGGAAAATGTCAAATTCATTAATTTGCAGTGTTCCCAGATTTTTGGCTTGGATATTAAAATAATCTCAATTCCGTGACGAATACTTTTGTCCACCCAAAAAAAGGATACTGAAGTATTTTATGGCCAGTATCTACGAAAAATCGAATGGTTCTTTTATAACTTCGACTCATCAGTTAAAGAACAATGCGGAGAGTCTTTTTCACTCGAATTATTACGTTGATAGTAAATACATTTTCCGTAAAGTAACATGAACAATGATAATGAGCGTGTGACGAATACTTATGTCCACCAGTGTATTATTACGCTCGTCAAATAATTGCAACACATAACCAAAGTAACCATAGGCCCGTATATAGCCAAAAAGGCGAAACAACGTGCCTATGGTTACTTGGTAAACCACCATCAAGATAGCGATATAACATGTTATAACGCTATCTTGATGATGGTTACTGTGTTGCAATAATTAACATGTTATAACTTCGTCGGTGTTATAACTGCTCAGTCTGGACAGCGTTCTAGTCTATAATTATTATAACGCCTATGTAAACTGTAAAACTCTGTAGCCTGAACGAGACATTAGTGATTGATAATGAAAGAAATTGTGAAGATACATGAAAGTTTGAAGTAGTTATTACTAGCAAAGCTATGTAATCAAGTGATTTAGATAGGATTCAAACAGAACCTTAAAATCAGATTTATTTTATTTACATTAATAGTCCCGGGCAGTGACAACCTATTTGCATTTAAATTTTATAGCTTTCACGCGCTGCACCACAGCAGCTTTAGTAGTTATCGTGCAGTAGCAAATGATCACCTGGACTGGAAATCCGGTGCAATCCTGATTGACCAACAAAGGGACGTGTAATTATCATTACAATTAAAATATAAACAATCTTTGCTCGCTTGGCGCCTTCTACTACCTACTATCTCTGATAGTAACGTCAAAAGCATTAGATAGTGTCTAGTTTATTTGTAGTTTGCCGGTAGCAAAAACAACAATGCAGTGGTTTTATTTCCTAGTAAGTTTCATATACATTTAACCGACAACTCTTCCACATGAGATTGCTATTCACAGTTGTTACACTCTTCGCAAGTATAAGGCGTCCATTCTTTCCTGTTTTTTGTTTAAGATTTACTTTCGATACCTATATTTATAACTATACCTTTCACTAAATAAACCATTTCTTATGTAATACAGGTTGCACTGCTACATTACTGATATAATTGGAAATATGATAGGTATAGTTAAGTGCCTTTGATGGCAAAAAGTTTATTGCGCAAATGTGTTTGTTGCACTTACTATTTCTATTCTTAAAACTTTTATGATAAATATATTGATTTAGTCTATTGCAACATTTGGTTAGAATTTCAAAGCTATTTTAGTTGGCTTTTCCGTATGTGTTTTGACTATAAGGTTATTTACCTACAGTGATACAAATTTTTCATTTGACTAGCTAGTTTGTGTACTGCTATCTGGGCGATGAATTGAAGTTCTGCTATGAATTTATATACATTCGAATTAAAACGTAAGACCTTGGTTTCAAATCAAAACATTGGAATGGCATTCGAGTGTGGCTATTTGAACTATTAATACTAAATTAAAATCCTTCCTCTTGCGTCCCACAAAGTTTAGACATTATCCAAGAAGCCCTTTCTGTAGAACTCCAACACGGTGTCCCTCATGCGGGTGTGATAATCCGGCGAAAGCATCTGGGCGATGGTCTTTTCGTGGTTCTTGGTCTTGAAATCGTTCATAGTGACCGTGTCCAAGTCGGGAATTTGATCCGGATAGAAGGTGACCGCTGGCAGGAGCCACATGGCAATACCGAGCCCGTACAGGATCCGATCATCGTATTCGGCTCGGATGTTCTTGTAGCTGAAGGTGGCTTCTAGTTCGGGTAGAACAAAACTTTTGCTAACAGGTACGTACGATCGTAGAGCGGTTATCAGGGATTCCTGGTAGTTTCGAATGAGTTTATCTGTGTAGTTGGTTCTTATTTCGGTACCGGTGCTGGTGTACAGAAGATGTAGTATATCGATGACCGGCGAGGTGTACCGCATGGTTTGCAAATCGATCAGTTTGACCTGATCGTAAGGTTTGTTGAACATGAGATTGTTCACCCAGGTATCACCGTGACATACGACTTTCATTGGCTCGTGGCTGTTACGCACGGCAGTGGACATGATTTGATACAACCGACCGCTGAGCCTTTCAATGGCCTTAATAGGGGCATCCAGGTGGCCATTCTTGTTGCTGTAGTGAAGACTGTCCAGAGCGCCTCGAAGGGACGTTTCCAACGAGTGGGTATAGAACTCTGCTGCAGCGTCGTTGTAGACGATTTCCGTGACCTTTTCCTTCATGGTGTGAAACTGGACCGGTTTGACTAGTTTCATCGCTAGGGAAACGGCGTGGAAGTTGGCTAGCTCCTGGAAAGGAGATAGAAACGGTTATGCGTGATTTGAACTAAGCTAATTTAGATGGCATTTAAGACAGTAATAAAAAAAATTTAGATGGCATATCATTCATAAGTCAGTGCCAACATTTAAAAGGGGCGTAATTGCATTTGTGAACAATAACTTTAGCCGTCGATTTCTCGTGAACATAAGCTCATTCATGAAAATTAATGACACCAATAGGTAGAGGAATGTTTCCTCTACCAGTACGTGCTGTTAATTTGGTGGGGAGGGGCTTTTATTTGCGAGAAATCAACAACTAAATCCATTGATGACAAAAGCAATTACGCCCCTTTGAAATGTTGGCACTAAAGGTATTGTGGATTAGATTGAGGGTACCGTAAAACGGGGTATCTTCGATAATGCGGGTAACTAGAATAAAATGATTAAATTTACTCTCCGCGCCTTTTCCGAATTGGAAACATTGATTCCATATTGTAGCTTAGGGCATTTCCGTTGATATAGTATATAGTTTTTATATTGTATGTGTTTTTTTACAAACATATTAAAATTCAATTTTCTACCGCCTGTTTGAAAAAACACTCAAACCATCACTTTTTTGTTTTGATTTGTTTTCCGTCGATCTTGTTTTCCGTGCTTAGCACCAATGCTACCGACGCCAGGGAGGCAGCTCCCACACCTGGACCGTACCTATCGACCCATCAACTCATGAACCGGGGACCAACGGATTTACTTCCTCGTTTACTTCCCTTCTAGGATCACAGATTTCATGCCTCAGAAAATCCCGGCGGCGCCGACTGGGCCGAGAGGCAATCACGCTTACCACTACACTACCGGCGCCGCTAAAACTATCACTTATGAAATGTATTTCCAATATAGCCATCACAAATTAAATGGTGAATTCTTATTACTTATGATGTTTGCTGATTATATACTCATTCAAAGTTGCATATTTCATTAGTTCTTGAAATTATTTAAGTTTCACGCATTTTCTTCTACATGCAAAGTAACCCCAAATCAAAATACTGATGTTCGGCCACAAGACAAAAAAAAAATAGTGCAAATGATTTAATTGCCGTCAAGCATATAACTAACGAATTGACTCAAGGATCATCAATACTTATTTAAAAAAAAATTGCTGTAAAAAATATTTACTTAAAAAAACTATCAATGTTACCCCGTCTTACGGTACCAATAAAGTTCCAAAAATAGGCAATTATTAGATGAAGCAAATTAGAGGCACAGTTATGCTAGCCATAGTTCACACTTTATCAGATGAGCGAGTCACTAAACGGCTGCACGATTGCAGAATCAAACACAAATTAAAGTTCCGTTTACTCAGCTTCGCTAAAATCGAAGACAACATATCAAAAAGACTGGCCACTCTTCCATTTTCTGATACGAACACCAAGAGACAGGTACAATCGCCGTCATCTGCCGCTCAAAGGTAAATGCTTCGAACGAATTTGATAGCAAAGATTACATCCTCAGAAGAAAGGTTTGTGTATTTGCTGATTTGTCTATGCGTTGCTTCCACCTTCACTCAAGCGCAGCGCTACTGTATCTGTCGCTTGGATTCTGGCAAAGTTGTCTTCGCTAAAATCAAGGTTACGCATAGTTTGAGTTTGAATTTAAATTAATGCCTCTCATATTCGAGTAAAATTTGGTCGAAGATAAGTGACTTCAACTCAAAGCAGATTTTAAATAAGTTCATGAGTAACCGCGGTTTTTAGTGAAACTGATTGAAGGGAACTCATATTTGAGCCCAATATAGAGGAAAAGTTGGCTTCGGCAATACCTTAACCTATTATCGTCAGGGGTAAACAAAGTCCTAGAGCATTCAAATTTGGCCAATGGTTGCTCTGAAACACAATGTATTCACATGCCAAAATTGAGCTCTCAAGGACGTTGTTTACCCCCCTGACGATAATAGGTTAAGGTATTGCCGAAGCCAACTTTTCCCCTATATAAGGACACAATCAATGAAATGATATGAGATTAATGGTCCCGAGATGGATTGAAGAATTAATTTCTGCAGTTTGTGCTAACTGGGTTCACGAGATTGGTAGGGACATCATAGAATACCTTGTTTAGTCTAAGATAAGAACTTCAGCCATTTTGGAGAACCTAATAAACCAAAATTTTTACTATGAGGCTCCATGAAGGTTTACCCATTCTTACAGGCTTAGATTTTTTTTGCCGAGATGGGCACCACCGAGCAGCTCGGTATTTTATTTTGCTGAATCTCAGTGAAAGACTTGCCGAGATTCAGGGTTGCTTCCACTCACTTGCTATAAAACAATGGTTTTCTAAATTATGAGATCATTAGATGATATAATGATATGCTGTACTTGTAAGTAACAAGAAAAGGGTGTAAAGGATGTGATTGAGTCATAAAACCTGTCAATTTTGCTTTCAGATGGTCACAATTGGCGATCTTATGATTCGCGAGCGTTCACTCTGAGTGAGCGCTCACGAATCGTTAAATCGCTTATTTTGACGCACTGAAAGCAATATTGACAGGTTTAATGTGTCAAACACATACTTCACGACCTCTTCTTGTAACTTACAAGTACTAATTATCATTGTCACATCTAATGTGTTCATAACTCGAAAACACAATTTTTTATAGCAAGTGAGTGGAAGTAACCCTGCCGAGATTCAATAAACTGTAAATCAACCGTTTGGTGAGAGAACGATGAACAGCATGGTTATTATTTTGTATACGTACCTTCAAAACCGTTCGACACTGCCGGTAGCTCAGATTCTTCCTTCTATCAACCATGTAAAATTCGCTGCTCCTCAGATCCTCCAGCACAATCAAGTCCCCCTCGGCATCCGTGTCGGCATAGTGACACACCGGGAAGGGCAATCGATTGGACGAAAACGGCTTCATAATCGGCACCAGCTGACCGTAGGCGATTATTTCATTAGCAAAGGCCTCATCCGCTCTGAACAGCTTTCGCCGTTGGAGATTTGTAATTTGTCGCTTGAAGATCAGCGAGATTTTGAAAACTGCCGCATTTTAGAAAGGGATAAAAACAGGTAAATATTTAGACTGGGAAGTTTCAAACAACGTATAATAAAGGAAGTAAATATAAAACAGCTTGAGTTCAATCACCGATACAGAAGCCGCATGTATAATGCTTCGGCAGTGTGTAGACGGCAAATAGTATGACATTGAAAAGTGTAATCGCACCATCGATAAACCAAACAAAACTAGGAATTATGGCGCAGCTGAAAAGACCATTAGTCAGTCGTTGATGTTGTATCTAAGTATGGACAGCTAGTTGTAGTGCATGAGCACGAACAGCAAACGGGTTGCATATACCTACTTAACGTACAGGGTGTATTTTCAATTAGTAAGAGTGTGGAATGCAAACACCGTTAGTAATCGCTATAGAGATTTTCACGTCCGATTGTATTGGTGCGATATGTGAGAGCACGTTAGTGAATATCCGGCGAAAATACACAAAAAATCCATGTCAAACTCATTTGGACAGATCTACTTCAATACATTTTTTAGGTTAGCCGAGGAAAATAATAAACAACTTTACACGGCGTTGCTCCCGCAGTGTGCGTCACTAATCTCTATATAAGTTTTAGTTGTGATTCCGCGATTCCTTTTTGGTTCTTCTTCTTCATCATTTTTATATTGAAAACTCAAATTGAGGATGCCATACAACGAACCGAGCTAATGATTATCAGTTCAGTTTGATAGACTATTGCAACCGGTAGAGTGCAGTGATATATATCTCAGAGCAGTGCATTTTAAAGCGTCATATCCAAATCATAACGAAAATGGACGCCGGACATCGGGAGCTGGCCTTGACTATCATTCCAGTTCTGGAAGACAATGGTGAAAATTTGGATTCGTTTCACTACATCAGCGAATACTTCTATAACCATGCAGTCGCTATGCGCAACAGTTTGGCTGATAAAGAGCTGGCGATTATTATGATTTCAAAAATGCGCGGACGATATGCTGCCAAAGCCGTGAAACAGCGTTGCGTGAACTTCAAGGAAATTGTCGATAATGTGCTGACATAGATAGAAAGTGCGATTTTTTTAAGTGATTAAGAGAATAAATGCTTAAGGTTCTACAAAGGGTCATTATTTTGTTTACTTCTTCTTTTTGAAATATTCTTCGATAATCATTTTCTAAATGTATTGTTAAAATTCATTGGAAGTGCATGTCCCCACGCCAAAACTGCCCATTTTTCATAAATATCAACTGGTATGGTGAGGAAAACTTAACCATCTCTTTTCTTCCTTCATTTCAATACAACAGCAAATGTGATGTCACCTTATCTAGTGGATAAGAATGTAGCAGACAAAACATTCGCACTGCCAGACTGCGCTGTTATGCAAGTTTGTTTACACCCCTGCGCGGGAAAGTGTACACGCTATTTCAAAACTACCCAAATTTGGGTAGAATCCACCCAGATCCGTCAAAACTGAACCTACCCAAAAATGGGTAAACTGTGTTGGGAGTGACAAGTTGACAAATGAACAACGTCGATCGGATTCATGTCAATGTTGTTCATTTGTCAACTTGTCGCTCCCAACACAGTTTACCCATTTCTGAGTAGGTTCTGTTTTGACGGATCTGGGTGGATGCTACCCAAATTTGGGTAGTTTTGAAATAGCGCGTATACCAGGCTACGTGCACTGCTGCCATCAATCCTGTTAGTGTTGAATTCAATCTTCTGTGACTTTTTTAATTGGACCGGTAATAACGAATTATCAAGAAATATTGAAGAATCCAAGTATGTAACCAGTTGGTTACAATCCGTGGATTTTCGTTTGTATGAGTTGTTGTTGTCACGTATTTTAATATCAAAGACAGAAGGCAACACACAGCAGCGAGAGGGTTAGTACCGCTGCAAAAAGACTCGAACAATACTAAGGCTCTGAACCATTTGGTGGATTATTTTAACTTTTGGTTAAAATTTGACAGATGGAAAGTTATCGATTAACCCTGCTATCCGAGCGTGGTTATTTCTGACAGACAAGAAGTTAAATTTTGACGACCGTGGCTCGAAAACCGGTCGATCGACAGCACGGGGATTTACGAAATAACTTTCGAAATGTCACTTTTAACCGAGGAGGGCGACACATCTAAATTTCAAGTTTAGATGGTCAACAAATCTCACACTAGCGAATCAATCTTCGAACAATCTTCTTTCATTTGTCGCATCTACTTGCATCGCTCATCAATTTTTTGCAGGAAATCTTCAGAATCGTCATCAATCTTCTTTCTATCTACTCAGCGTGCGCGCAGCAAGCCACAGCAAAACACAATCTTTTTTGCATCGTAGATAGAGTCGTCCCTCTCGCTTTTAACTACGAGTTAAATTTAACTCGGCAAATGGTTCACAGCCTAAAGGGAGGAAAATCGTAGTCTTAAGCTAAAAATGGAGAATGATCGGCAAAAGGCATGCGAGTGGCCATCTTCTAAAAGAAAAAACCTTCTAATTACCAGAAGTAATCAGGCGTCCGTGTAGACCGGTATCGTAAAGTGCAGTGCCATTTAGTGTACCCCCCCCCCCCTTGTGGGGTTTCTGGGATGTTGGACTGCCTCCGTTCAGGTAATTTAATTTTTATTATCATGACGGAAATTTCCCTGAATTATGACAATTCTCAGGACCTCGTACCGTAAATAAAACGGTCTTACACGGCTCGGCTCGGAAGTCAAGATGGCTTCCGAGCCTAATAGTAAATGATACTCGATCGTCCGTCAGCGACGATTCCCTCAGACTAGAGTCGGTGTATAATGAGTCACGCCAAGAGTGAAGCCAGGTCTACCTATCGAACTGTCAAACCAGCTACCTATCGTGCAAAGTAAACAAGCATTACGATGCTATGAAAGGTCCACGAAAGGTATTGCAATAAAATATAAAATATAATCGAAGAAATGATAATAAACACGCAGTGAGCATTCAATTGTCATGGGATACGTTTGGTAATGATCAGTAATGAGAATTTCTACTATTTTTTGTTAAGATAATTTGACAAAATCACTGATATAATGATTTACTACAGCCGCTATTATTTTTTCTCGCTAGAAGTCATTTGAAGTTTATGTAGAAGTCCTCTGTTGCCAAGTTAAAAGAAAGGGAATCTTTCGAAAGCCGTGATGCGAGTTCAACTGTTTTTCTCTTGGCGTGACTCAATATACACCGACTCTACCTCAGACCGGTGGCCTTAATTGTCAAGGAGGGTCCCGTCTCGGCTCGACCAAGGTGGCCATGCCACGGTCAGCCGATGCCGTCAACGACGGAAGACGCCTGCCAGCCAAACGAGCCAGCAACGCCTGCTGAGCCGTATGTGGCTGATGAACGCCACCAGATCCGCCATTCTCCCAAAGCGGCAACAACACTGTCTGCAGCCCGCCCCGCAAGTTTCCGGTCACACGGTAGTGCAGGAGCAGCCGTGTGGGCCAACGCCAGCGTCGCGACGCCGAAGGAGAATCTGCTGCAACAGTGAGTACCGTACCGTTCATAAACTCTCGCATACCCGCCACATATATGTGAAAACCCACACCCTTCTTCTTCTTCTTCTTCGCATTTCAAGCTTATTGCATATCGCATATTAGCTTATTGCATGCTAACAACTTAGTGTTCTAGATGCACTTCCACAGTTATTAATTGAGAGCTTTCGATGCCTGTACCATTTTTGCATTAGTATAATTATGTGGCAAGTACAATTATACTCTATGCCCAGGGAAGTCGAGAAATTTTCCAACCCGAAAAATTCCTAGACCGGACCGGGAATTGAACCCAGCCACCTCCAGCATGGTCTTGCTTTGTAGCTGCGCCTTTACCGACTGAGCTAAGGGAGGCCCCAAAACCCACACCCACACGCCACAGAATAGGGAAATAAATGTTAGAAAATGTGAATATTCCTGTGTGTTTCATACTTTATCCGCGTAGCCCCTACGAATACCCAGTAACATGCTGGCCCTGCGACACAGTTAAGGGGTCTCATGCTACTGAGCTAGTTACCCGGGAGTGTCTGGTCATGCCATAGTCACAAGTACATCATCATTTTTGTAATTGCGGATCTTAAAACTAGGTGTCGCATGACCAGTTTTGGCTTTGCTTTGATTCGCCAATCGTGAATATTTAGATTATTCAACCTCAACTCTATATCTGAGCAATCAAAATCTTCTGTAGGTAATAAAACTCATCATTTCAAGGTTTTTTTTTCAAGCAGTGCGTGTTTTTTTTTGCAGAAAAAAAAACAGCTAGATGAATTAGAAATAATGGGTCCAAAGTACACATAACATAAAAAGAAACAAATAAATAAAGGGCGAACACGAAATTATTGCAACACCGAAAATGTCATGCCAATTTTCTTATAATGCTTAGAATTAAACCAAAATTTTAGGGTAGTTTTATACATATATTTACTTCAAAAATCAAAAGAAAAGTTAATCGATGGAGCCTTGAGTGTAAAATTGAACGCATTTTTGCTTGATGCCCTCCATCAAAGTCTTTACAGTGTCATCCGGTACCAGTTTCTCAGTTTTTTTTTTCATTTTCTTAACATGTCCTTCTCGTCTTTGACTGTCTTCTTGCTCTTCCGAAGTTCCCGCTTCATTATTGCCCAGTACTGCTCCACCGGGTGCAGCTCCGGACAGTTTGGCGGATTCATGTCCTTTGGAACAAAATGGACAGAATTGGCCTCATACCACTCCAGGACACTTTTAGAATAGTGGCATGATGCCAAATCTGGCCAAAATAGCGGAGCTTCGTCATGCTGCTGCAAGAACGGCAAAAGGCGCTTCTCGAGGCACTCAGATTTGTAGATCTCGCCATTTACTGTGCCCTTTGTCACGAAAGGCTCACTCCTCAGTCCGCAAGAGCAGATGGCCTGCCAAATGAGATATTTGGAGGCGAACTTCAACATTTTCTTCTTCTTAAATTTGTCGTCCACATCGAACTTGCTCTTGCCGGTGAAAAACTCCAACCCCGGAATTTGCTTAAAATCGGCTTTTATATACGTTTCGT